GGAAAATGATCTTAGCCATGAAGGCTACTATAAAACCTAGCATTAAAGGCTATCAACACTAGCCATTAGAACTAAAGTTACAAATGTGCAAAACTCTCATGTGCATAATATGATTATCAACTCTATCATCAAAAGATAAAAGTTACAAAAGTTAAAAACCTCTTTTGCATTATATATATACTAGTGGTAACCCGTGCTATGTATGGTATGTATAAAATTAATAATATATTTTTATACAAAATAATATAAATAGTTAAATTTTTGTATCAAATTATGAAAACAAATGAGATTGAAATTTAAAATTTAAGTCTCACAATTTTATCACAATTTATTTATTATTTTTTAATTTGTCACAAATTTAATCATGTAAATTGCAAATTTAGGTGAACTCAACCCAAACAACTTGAGTCGAGCTTAAATTTTTTTAAAAATTGAACAATATAATTTTTAATTAAGTGAGGACCTTTGCAAAAATTCAAAAATTCAAATTAAATTTGAGTGAACTTGGGTAGAAACACCAAATAACTTGAAAAATCAAAACAAAATTATATATATAAATATATAAATTATTTGCTAATTTATTTTTTAAATAATAAATAAAATTAATTAAAAATTTAATATTAATTAACAAAAGAAAAAGCAATATATTTAAGATTTCCAATAGAATTTTTTTTGAAAATGTTTTAAAAATAAACCTTTTAGAAATGGATCATCGAATAAAGGGTTGTTTGGGAAGTGTCATATTAGCTCACTTTTTTATCTTTTTATCTTTTTTGGATCACATCACATTTCTACTTTTCTATACATCTTTTCATAAAAAGTAAAAAGTATACTTAATTATCTTTTTTAAGTCACATCACATCTTTACTTTTCTATACATATTTTCATAAAAAGTAATATATATATATATATATATACTTAATTATCTTTTTTAGTCACATTATATCTCTACTTTTCTATGCATATTTTCATAAAAAGTAAAAAAGTATGCTTATTTGACACTTCCCAAACTACCACTAAGTTGATGTTAAAAAAATCTACTTTTTATAATGGCATACATAATTTAAATATGATTTTTTAGAAATTCTTTTTAATTTAAAATTACAACAAAATATTAAATAGAATAAAAACAAATTTCTTACAAAATAAAAGTGTTCGAATAAAAAAAAGGTAAAAAGAAAATTTAATATGTTATTTTCATTTAATCTGAAAATAATTTTAGATGAATACGTTTCTTTCTAATTTATTTTAACAAAAGTTTTGAGCCAAAGATACCTTTATTCTTTATTTTAATTTCTTTAATTAAAAATTGAGATTTTTAAAAAAAAAAATCTTACAAAATTCACCATATTTAGTAAATACTAAAAAATTTATGTTTTGTTCTTTTGTCAAAAAAAATTATATTAAAAAATATTATTGTTCAAGTCCTTATAGTTTAGAAAGATATAATTTTTTTTATAAAATTTAAAACAAAAAAAAGAAAAAATAATTTAATAGCGATTAATAATTTGAACACATGTATATTATGACACATGTGAATATTGAGCTCATTTAATTGTAGCAATATAATTTGAAAAACAATATTAAATTTGAAATTTTATTTCATAATTTAATAAAGGATGCAAAATTTAAGGAATAAATATTGGTCTCATTCTAATTATAGTAACATAATTTAAGTAAGAATCCAAATTTTAAATTTTATTTTAGGATAAATTACAAATACACCCCCTAAGGTTTTCTTAAAATACATATTGCCCCTTATGGTTTGGAAAGTTACAACACCCCCTTGTTAAAAAAATTTATTTAAGAAAATTAACTAAAAATATAAAATTTATAATTGTTCTCTTATACAATAATAAAATTACCTAAATTGTTAATTGAAACATGTTTCTAACAACATTAAAAGCTGTTAATTGATTTGATGATTTATTAATAAAATATGCAATTTGTTATGAAATTAGAAATCTTAAGGGGTGGAATGTAATTTTCAAAACCACAAGAGGCGATTTGTATTTTAATCAAATATCAAGGGGTGTATTTGTAATTTACCATTTATTTTAAGAATATAAAATTAATTTATAGACCAATCATATTGTAATACGTATTAACAACAAATTAAACAAAATAAAAAAAAAATGAGAAAAAAGAATTACAACTTTCAACCTTAATGAAATGACAATATTTTGCAATTATGATAGTATATATATAGATAAATCATAGAATAGATCATTATTTAAAACTTATATATTATGAGATAAATCATTATAATTTTTAATTTAAATTAATGGAATGCTTTTCATATTTAGTGCCCTCAAATTTGAATTTTGAAATGGATTAGTATACTTTCTATTTTTTATTTTATATATATAAATGATATACTTTATATTGGAAAGTCATAAATTTAGAGAAAAATTTGAATTGGGAGTTGTGCAGCCGTAATTGTTGACTTTTGGTGAATAGTGTTAACTTTTTAACTTTTTGAGTAACTTTTTGGCTTTTTGACTTTTTTGGAAGTACCCAAACTTGGCCTTAGTACATTTTTTGAGTATTATTAATGAAATGCACAGTGTAATTTTTTTTATATATTTTTTTTCCGCAATTGCAACATGTTATTTTTTAATAAAAATTTATATTTTTTATATATCTATTTTTAATATACAATTTTTTTTTAAAAGATTTTTTATAAAAATAATTTAACAATCCCATCACTAACCATAGTATATGAGAGAAGTTGGAAAGGGTGTAGCAATAGGTATAAAAGAAGTCAAAAAAGACTTGCGGGATGGAAGAAATCAATAAATGCTAAGGCTTTTTTTTAAATCAAAAAATTAGAAAATTAAGATTGGGATATTAAAGTTTTCACAAGGTTTGTGGGTTAAAAACCTCCTTTTTCTTTATATAATAGATAGGTAGATAGATAGATATAGATAGATAGATAGATAGATAAATAGATATAGATATATAATGCTATTTAAATAATCCAACTAGATGGATTGCAAAATGAATACGGGTGTTGGATCACAACCGGGGGATTCTATTTGAACCCAAAATATGTCTCAGTACACTGAATTTAAATTTATAGATTTTAATTCATATTATATCCTAATATGAATTTACTAATGAGGATAACACATATTAAATTCTAAAATAATTTTTTTTCTCATAGTATAAGTTAATTAATTATTCCTATTCAAATCTCTGTATCTTCTTCCCCGAGAAATCAAAGTTGTTTCTTCTTCTTCTTCTTTTTCCTCTCTCCAAAACTCTAATCCACCCGATCAAAACTCACCATCATCATCAACATCATTGTTATTTTTATTATTATTTTGAAATCCTAAACCCTAGAAGAAAGTTTGAACAAAATCAGAGTAATAATCAAAATAATTTTTTGAAACAACCCATAAAAAATGAGGTAAGTATTCATATAAGGGGTTTCACAATTTTTGTAGAGCACCATTAATTATTTTCTATATCATTTTTTTGACAAAAATTAAAAAGTCAAGTAGTTAGATTAACAATATCATATTATTGAGTTGTTTTTATTTTGTCATTTAAATAATACATTATTTGAGAACTATTTTTTCTTGTTGATAATTGATGTTTATGTGCTTATAAGTTTGGTTTTGATTTTTCTAAGAGCATTCTTGTGGATAATTATAATGTAAATTTTTTTTTGTTTTTTTTTTTTGGTATTGAAAAGTTTTATAATGCTTATGTAAAAGTTTAGTTTTTTCTGTATTTATAATGCGTATGTGCTTATAAGTTTGTTTGTTTTTTTTTTTTTTTTGGTATTTGTATTTGAGAATTATTTTCTGTATTGAAAAGTTTTTGAAATAATTTAGTTTTTTTATTATTTTTTATTTGGGTTTACCTTGAGGGTAACTTGGGAAAAATAATAAGGTGTAATGAGAGTAAAATAAAACTTTAAATAATTAAACAAGGTGTACTTAGAAATTGGGAGTACTTAATGATTTTTTGAATATAATAGAATCCACGGTCACAACCCGATCCAAACCCAATTTTAAACATATACACAAGAAAAACCCAGTCCAGTATAGCACAATCTGGTCCATACCCAAAACTAAGTCCAATACATGCACATACACAAGCCTAAACCAGTCCAGACCAAAACTAAGACTAAGTCCAAGTCTAAGCCTAGGCCCAAGCCCAAGTCCAAACCCAACTTCTATTGATATCTACTTTATGAGATAATTCTCATTTACAGCTTAATAATTTCGGCTCATTATTTTTGTATTACAACCTTCTCATTTAAGAGAATACAAAACCACTCAAATCCACCTCAACTAGTTGTTCGATCCCACTTTAATTTCGAATTAAAGTTACCGAAAAATCTTTATTTTCTAACAGTGTAAAGGAAAACTTTTTCTAAAAAAAAAAGAAAAAAAAAATTCAAAAAATATTTTTCCATATTTAGAGGTGATTGTGGTGATAAGACAGAGATGGAGGTGGAGGTGAAGGTGATGGAGTGGTGGTGATGGCAATGGTTATAGTGGCCTGGTGGTAAAGGTGTGATAGTTGTGACATTTATAAGACTTCAATTCAAAAAAATATTTTTCACCTTTCAAAAGTGATATATTTTCTACCCGAATAGACTTGTTTTTTATCAATCATAAAAAATATTTCTCATTAACTTTCATTTTCTATTATATCAAACACATATTTTAGCTGAAACAAACGGTTTGAAAACATTTTCCACTCAAATAAACTTATTTTCCGTTGACCACATAAAACTTTTTCAGCTAACTTTAATTTCCTAGTGTACCAAATGCCAAAAACACAAATAAAAAAAATATGCATATATAAAATAGGATGTGGCAATTGTTTTGGCTCATGCCTCGCATCAAAAAAAATTATAGTGGCACAATTTTCATAAAATTCTGTTTGCACAGCCAATTTTTATTGTGTAAATCATTTACAATGAGGTCAAACATAAGATGCAATTAAACAAAAATGCAGAGGCTAGCAAATTGCAATGGGAATTCTTGAACATCTTCAACAAGCAATTTTTTATTCATGAACTTACAGTAAACAAAAGAAACCTGTATTCCATTACAACCTCGTATATGCTTATAATAGCAAGCATATATTCATTCAGATTCACAACAAAATCAAAAGTGCACACACAAAAACAGTGTAAAAGAATAACAATCAGACACAACCACCCGGTACAATCATCACAAAGATATGCAAATGTATTTGCACAGCCAATTTTTGTTGTGTAAATCATTTACAATGAGGTCAAACATAAGATGCAATAAAACAAAAATGCAGAGGCTAGCAAATTGCAATGGGAATTCTTGAACATCTTCAACAAGCAATTTTTGATTCATGAACTTAGAGTAAACAAAAGAAACCTGTATTCCATTACATCCTCGTATATGCTTATAATAGCAAGCATATATTCATTCAGATTCACAACAAAATCAAAAGTGCACACACAAAAAGAGTGTAAAAGAATAACAATCAGACACAACCACCCGGTACAATCATCACAAAGATATGCAAATGACACAACATCAAACTAAAATATAAACCTAAGTAAGATCGTCCTCCTCTAGTTCTTTTGCCTTCAGTGCTTCCTTAACTCTCAAAAGAAGGGTTGTTTTCCAAGCATCCTGCAGAGCAAATTATGTGGAAACAACACAACCAATTGCAACATTCAATAACTAAATAAACATGCGGATCTGAAATCTAGACAACACAACAGCATCAGTTTGATTGATGTAAATTCCCATCTCAACTGGATCAGAAAACAAGTGACTTTACCAGAAATGTGTAAGATATCCACAAATCAATACAGAAAAACTAGGTATAAATAAACTACTACAATGTCAAATGCTATAGAAAATAACAAATGCAACTGAGTTCAATTCAGCGAAGCTTGATCCACAAAATCTTTTCATTGATTAGATAAATAACTTTCACCATTCCTCCATTAAGTCTGTTGCTTTGATGTCACCCCTTTAATATTTTGATATTCGACTGACATCAAATTTACTTGGCAAAACCATTGAAACCTTCATGTTGTCTAGAGTTAGTGCCACCTCTAACTTCTCATTATTTCTTCTCGTTATATCTTCTGTTCTCATGCAACTTGATCCTTCTTATCAGCCTCCCTCTTAATCTAATTTTTCAAAACTAGTGTTTTGTTTGGCTTCAATATTAACAGCTGTTTCAGCAAAAATCAAGATATGCCCACTAGGATTGACAGAGAAACTACAAATTAAAAGATGTCTGTAAAATTCAAAAATTCCAGGCCTAGGTCACCTAATTCGCTGGTACAAAGTGATGGACACATTATGAGTTCGCGGACAGGTGGATTTTTGGCAAATTCTCTGCAAATTTATGAATTCATTAAATATATTCACGAATTCCTTTAATCAATTTGTGAATTGGCCAGAAATCTCATTTCAGTCAATTACTTACTGCCGCGGATCACAAACCATACAATTTTAATAACTATGAACCAGCAAGATCTGAAACTAGACAAAGCTATTCTGACCGTACAAAATTATGACAGTTCTAATATGGTACAAGGAGAAAAGAAGGAAGAAATTCAAAACAAACTTGGACCTAGAGTTGCAGTTATGTGCCATCACATGTTGTTCAAGACATTATTAGCCAAAAGCAAAGAAAAGAAAAGAAATTCTGAACCTCCTTTTCAGAATAATATTAAAATCAATTCAACTAAACTCAAAACTTCGGTGCTGCAAGTAAAATCCATGTCAAACACATCAGCAACAAACCCACTCAAGAGTGCTATAAACTAATCAGACTCCAAACATTGATAAGTGTTTTCAATTAGAATCAGAAATGCAATTTACCAGTTGAGTCATGCTGTCAAATTCCTTCACAGCATCAGTGAACTTTGCAATATCTTCCTGATCAATAGCATCAGCTAAATCCTGCCACAGGAGAAGCAATCTTCATGTTAAGCTAAATTTTTGCTATCACAATTATATAAAGATATTAAATATAATTATTAAATTCAACATAAGAAAGGAGGTAGCTTAGGAGTTATAAACTGTTGATTAAAAACCATCAAAATATGCAGTTCATATGGGGGAAAAATTCATCAAGATGAGAAGTTAACTACATTCCACGAAATCTATTTCCTAACAATTGTAGAATGTACTCACCATCCAAGAGGAAACTTTAAAAAAAAAAAAAAAAAGAGATGCAAAAACAAAACGAGTTTTACAAGCTTTACATACCGCAAGCAATTTGTACTCTCGTGTTCCAGAAAAAGTTGGATCCAAATCCTGAAAAAAAATAAAAAATAAAATCAATGTTCATACAAATACAATGTCTAAGCAATATGATAAAAAGACAATCCGCTGGACAACAGCTATCGCTTAATCATGCTTAAACCTGATATTTCTCTAATGCATTGTTAATTGCAACAGTGTCCCCTTTGCCTTTACAGAGTTGGCAAATGCCAGCATTAAGAAGATGTCCTTTTACTCCATACTTCAGCAAATTATTGTTCAGCGATTGCCGTGCTATATCTTCATAAATCTCAATAGCTTGCTGGTATCTGGAGAAAAATTTTGAGCATAATAGTTCCTATCAATGCACTTTCAATTATTCCTCAACAACATTTTACATCAATGTAAAGCTATGACAAAATGTATTCCAAATAAATGATTTCTGACAGTAGGTACAGATCTCATTTGCATTGTTCCACTATTTCACTTTGGTAATAAGGCTGCAAATGAGATGAGCCAAGCGAGCTTTAGGGTGTTTAGAATCGGCTCAGTCAGTTTAATGTATGTTCTGGTTTGGCTCATGTTCATGATAGTTTCATGAGCTCACGATTCCAGCTCAGTTCGGCTTGGCTCAGTAATGCATATGAAATCCGGACACATGTAGAATGGATGAGAAAAAAACCCAATGGACAAAAAGATGACAGGGCTTTTAAAGTATGTCACCAAAAAGCAAAATGTGGGCCATCATTTAACTTTTTTTCTAAGTATAAAGCATATTTGTAATACAAAGCAGGACACACGTCCTCTCTCAATGTGTGGTGTATTATATTATACTAATTTCTACACAAAAATAAAGAAAAAGGATTAAATGTGGCCTTGATAAAAAGTAATAAAAGTAGAACAACTCCTCTCATTTGCAGCCCTAGTTACTAAACTAAGCCCTGAATCTATGCATGAATATTAATATATGTGCATACATATATTTGGAAATGAAGTAAACTACACTGTCAATAATGTGAATGATCATTTGTTTTCAAACTATACTTTTGAACCAAATAAGTGCTGCAACACTCTAAAAAAAACAAGCTGACAGTAACAAATTCAAATGTGAGTTAGTTGTTGGAATAATCAGAAGAAAAGACCACCGCACTCATATTGATATAAAGAGAAACAAACAACCAGATGCATATTGACTTAATCCCACATGACCAATTCAAGCAGCCTACAAGGAGATCCTACATAACTGACTATACTGCCTTCAGAAACATGTACAGAGATGAAAAATAACTTTTGCAGATAATACATGTGGAAGTTCTCCATATAAAAATACATGATTAAATTATTATAAACTTACACATTTAAATATGAAATGCATTAAAAAATTTGGGATTAACTGTATAGATCCATTTCCTCCAAAATGGTAGCAGCATATCCTGATAAATTTAACTGCAGGTAGTTTTAAGTTCTACATGGTACAAAGTTAAATCAAACAACAATGTCATCTACTTTCCGCAATCAATTCCTACACAGAGAAAGAGAGATTAGAACAGTTATGAGATACATCCACTGTGGACTGAACGTTGCAGAAAATAGGTTTCAAAAGTCATCTAGCCACATAAGAAGTATAATGGGCTTACTGTTCCAACTGAGCAGAAAATTGAGCAACTTTCTGCCTGCACTGATTTGCAGTAGTTGTTACATCTTCACTTTGGAAAAGATCAGCCGCTTTTTCATAGTAAAAAATAGCCTGCTCGAAGTTCTGTTCAGCTTCGTACGATTCAGCAATTTCCTGCACATGAAGACAAGAGTTCCAAGTTATCTACGACTTTACTAGCCATCATATGCAATGATCCTAGAGGTTTACTCTAACTAAACATTAAAAAAAATAATAATAAGGATAATAACATCTATGAATTATACCCTTGTTTATGGTCATAAGTGATATGGCTTATCACTTATTCGTATGAACAAGGGTAAAGTCATAGATGCAACAAAATATGAGTAAGGAAACAATTATCTTCAACTGCCTCAAGTCTGACATAATTTACAGACAAAATGGTACAGATTGTACCTTGTAATATCTTGCAGCCATGTTGAGCCTCCCAATCTCCTTAAACATATTGACCAACATTAAAAAAAAATAAAATAAGGATAATAGCATCTATGAATTATACCCTTGTTTATGGTCATAAGTGATATGGCTTATCACTTATTAGTATGAACAAGGGTAAAGTCATAGATGCAACAAAATATGAGTAAGGAAACAATTATCTTCAACTGCCTCAAGTCTGACATAATTTACAGACAAAATGGTACAGATTGTACCTTGTAATATCTTGCAGCCATGTTGAGCCTCCCAATCTCCTTAAACATATTGACCGCTTGCTCTAGACAAGATATGGTCTCTGAAAAGCATACAATATTTAAGACGAGAGTAACCCCATGCCTCTGTGTAGTTTTCTAATAAAAACATCATTCCTAATTATATGTGAACAGGCGAGATATTTAGCTACAAAATTCCATTAGATTTTGTTCTTTTCAAAGCTTTGATGGGCCAGATTTATTGAATTATTTTCAATGATGATGTGCATGGAAAGAAGAAAAAGGGCAAATACGAAATATTACATGAAGCACACCTAAGGTTTCATGACCAGTGAAGCACAAATTATCATCAAGGGGCAAATAAGTGACCATAAACATCAGACTGGTTTGAATCATTGCTAGTGAGCAGGTTTAAAGAATCCCAAGATTTCCCATTACAAAACCTACCAAGATGGTCGTGCAAAGTTAAAATCTATGAAGCACATGTACGGGTACACATCAATACGGAAAAATCTATGAAAAAACGTAGGATACACGTAAAGCTGGGTACATTCGTAAAAAATAAATAAATTTGAAATAATGCAAAAATTAATTAAATGGTTTAGTTGGTTAAGATCAAACTTACAATTCACATTTAATGACAAAAGTAAGGTATAAATCAAAATTAAATGTAATTAAATTAAATAACTTACAAATTAAAGCTTAATTTTAAAATCATACTGAGTATAAAAAAAGAAGTTTAGTGAAACTAACTTCACATTTACATGGAAGAAAATACTATTCTAATTGAGGTACAACTTGGGTATATACTAGATACATCTAGGGCACTGCAAAAATTAAGAAGAAAAAATTGGGTGCGTGTTTCATGTACCCAGTACTTACGCAGAAGTACTATGCAAAATACTAGTTCCCAGTATGGTTACGGCATATTTGGCGAAGTACCCATGCATCATACAGGTTAAAATTGTGGCGATTTAAACAATGCGTGGACGCATGCCCCTATTTGTGTTCTACATTATCGGATGGTACGTCTAGTTTATTAGTTTAATGTGCATGCTCTATCATATTGAGTGGAGGTTCCTTCAGCTTCAAGTAACGAATTGAAATAAATATTCTTTCTAAGCTTGAATTGATCCCAAACACAAAACAACAAATGGCATGTTGGGGCATGTTAAAAAAGACAAAAAAAAACAAAAGAAGAAAAAGAACCAAGTTGTGATTTAAACAATGCATCACTACAAAAACATAACGTGAACATTGACTAACATTGAATTTTGAAATCTAGAATTCTGAAATCCCTTGATTTGTTTATTCTTGTGATTAGTAACTTCTACCGAAAGGACACAACCTTACTGTGTTGTTACATGTTTGTTAATAAAGAAAATTTTGGCTGAATGCCTAATTGACGGACCAAAAAAATAACAAAATGATGCAGGACTCCTTTAGGAATACTTTCTGAGACTAAAGCATCCATCAGGAGGGAGAGATAATGGATTTTAAGTTTATATGTGCCTATAAAAAAATTAGTGTCAAATGATTAAAAGAAGTTCGTGAAGGTGTAATAGAACATTCACCTCCACAATCATCTATAATAATCAAATCGATTAGAGGAGAAAGGAGGAATCCTACATCTGTCAGGCCTTTTATTTCTTGCATTGTAATTTGTATCTTACTTGGCATTCTGTCAATTGGAATCGTGCCCCTTGCAAGCCAACAAGCAACGTGTATTATATGTCACATGTGACAAGGCTTCACGAATCAGTACACCATAGGTGGGTATGACAATTCTCTAAATTAGCACCAAGTACTTGATTGACTGCTCATAGTTCATAGGAACTAGAGAAATCCACTAAAGGACCACCTATTCTATACTAATCAAAAGCACCCAACCGCCTTGCCTTACAATTCAACCTAATTGGCCTTTTCAGTCACTTGCTTGGTTAGATCTTGTCAACACAAGCATTCTTGATTGAGCTACTTTGGCATGAGTACTGAAATACATCTTTTATTTTTTTATTTTTTCGGATAAATACTAAAAGATATCTAATTCAAAGAAAACAAGAAGCAAGGGAACATCGCAAAAATATATCGTGTAAAAAGAGTTAAGATAACATTATGCTGTCACTACTTTTTAGCTGCAGGGTAGATTCATATAATTATAATAGAACATTGCTTGTATAAAATAAGCCAAAGTGGTCTGACAAATTTCAGGATAAATTATCATACAGAGAAGTCAACATCATACATACCTTTAGTATTTGTCTTCTTATAGCAATGAGCAGCAGAAGCATAAGCACCAGCAGCTTCATGTTTGCTATCCAACTTCAAAAATAAGTAACAGCATTATATAGGCTTATGGTCAGATAAGATCTGCCAAAAACAAAACTTCAAAGATAGAAATATCTAAACCCTGTAAAACGAAGCAATTACCTTTAAATGACAGTTTGCTAACTTTACATATGCTGATCCAGCTTGGTCCCCTGAGAATCCAAATATCATAAAAGATTACTGACCTAATACCTGGGATATAATGTGGATTAATCTAATTTTGAAAATATAGTCGAATTCTTTAATCAATATGATCCTTCAAGTACCGAAGTGATCGAAAGTCCTCATAAAATAGAAAGAAAGAAAGAAAAAGGCTTCCAAAACATTAGGATAACCCATAGCAACTATGGAAGAATCTGCATTGCTCATCAAGAAGTCATTTTTATTTTAATTTCCAAGTACCAAACTATTCAATCGTCGAAAAATGATGGCTTTATAGGGCAGGGAGCGATTGAGTTTGTAATGGGTGCCAAGGGTAATCCTGTAAGCCACTAAACACACACACACACACATAATAAATTGGATTTTTACTGATCACTATATATATGAATCTATAACATTCCCAACTTAAGATGCACGCACAAGGCAGATAATGAACAATTTTATAAATTAAAAAAAAAAAATCTTAATTTATTTGGCATTTAATGTTAACCCAAAATTAAACAAATAGATATTACTGCTCCACTTCCTTGACAAAAGTTGCATCCAAGTTAAACAATTACAACACACGCACAAGCCATCAAGGACTCAATCAAACCAAGATCCACCACAACTGACTGATCAAGAACCTTCGATTGAAAAAAAAAAAAAAAAAAAAAGGAAAAAAGATACAGAATTGTGCATTCTCACTATCGCATCGAAACAAACCATAATCGATCAACAAAAAAATATATATGAGTAGAAGAAGACTGACATGATTTGGCGAGCTTGAAAGCATTGGCGGCTTTATCGAACAAATCGGCGGCGTCATCGAATTTGGAACCGAAGAGGCCCCAGCCGCTGAGCTTCTTCTCAGCTCTCTTCTCGAAATCTTCTCCTCTCGCAATCTGATCGCCCATCTTGTGTTGGCGGTGATGGAAGATGAAGATGAAGATGAAGATGAAGACGAAGATGAATAGAGAGAGGACTCTCTGATCAAAAAAGCAACAGAAAAAAAGAAGAAGAAAGGTGGGGTGGTATCAAAAGAAATGTGCCATTGCCAGGTTGATCATAGGTGAAATATGGGCCTTCTTTTCATGGGCTCAAATTACATCAAGCAACACAACCCATCAAATTGTGGATCTGTCATGCCGTGAGAATCCCATGAGAGTTGTTCCGTCTATTTTGATCATCTGAATTATTTAGGGAGTCTAGCCCAAGGGTCCAAGCCCAACATATCATAACCTGTTTAGACTCAAAACAAATTTAATATTCTATTAAGTCCTCAAATTAACAATAAGACGAAAATACCCACAATATATCATACAATTTACACGCGCGCAACCATCTCCCACGTCCCCATCATCTTAGTCCGATCACTACACTGTCACGTCTCCGCCGCTCGAAATCGACTCCTCAGTCCTCCATCTCTCTTCCGTTCAACTCCATCCCCTCTGAAACCCTAACCCTAACCAGAAAAAATAACCGTTCATCTTCATCACCCACAATCATCTCAGTCTGATCAGTACACTGTTACATCTCCGCCGCTCGAAATCGCATTCTCAATCCTCCATCTCTCCTCCGTTCGACTCCATTCTCTCTGAAACCCTACCCTAACCACAAAACCAAACCGTTCAACTTCAACACAGCACCAAGCCGTTCATATTCTCCAATCGGCGACTCTCAACAACACGAAGAACCATCACCACTCTGAAGAGATTTCATAGTTCCTGACTTCCGATTCACAAAAATGGGGAAAAAAAGTAACATCTCTCTTCACCTATTCATTATTTTTCACATTTGTACATCATTCTTTAATATTTCTTATATACACATTTTACATACTTCCAAATGTATAAACCCTCTTTTATATATAGTCCCCTGTTTTTCAACATTCTAAACACTGTTTTTGCACATAAATCTCTGTTTTTACACATTCAACACCTTATTCTTATTCTTGTTGTTCAATATTGGCTTCTCTTATTCTTATTTTTGAATTTTTAATTTTCTTGTTGTTATTGTTGCTTTTTACAAAATACAATGGGCTGTTCCTATTGTTCATATTGTTTCCTTATAAAAACTGCAACATCATAGTGTTTCATTTCATCACTATACAAGTAACATATCTAAATTTATTCAAACTGCAAATGAAACTGCAAAATTACACAGTTTAACCACTACTCAAAACAAATAGCTAACTTATTATAAAGTGCAAATCAAACTGTCAAATTATACAGTTTCGTAACTGTTACCAACAAAATACATATAACTTCATATTAAACTGCATATAAAAATTCAAAATTATACAGTTTTGTCACTATATTACTTATACCCTGCTGTCACTTTCATTTTTTCAGAAATAGCTGTTGGAAGGTATTGGAAGAAACAAACCCGTATGCCCACAAATCCAATCAGGGATTTAACCATCTCCCCTTTGGAAAGTCCATCTCCTGTATCCACTAAAATGCCACCACCATCTCCCCATCCACAAAAAACCAAACCACCACACCCAAAAACAACCAAACCCAACAGACCCCACCAAAAAACCCACAAAACAACCACACCACCTACAAGAAAAAGCCCAAGAACTACACCACAGACCCCACCCACCCAACAAACACCAACCACACCTCCAACCACAACAAAAACAAACAAAAGAAAGCCAACAAAAAACCAAGAAGCTCCTCTAACCAAAAAAAGAAAGCTCCAAGAAAGCCAATCAACTCTCAAAACAAAAACCAAGGCATCAAAAGAAAAAAAAGCAGCAGTCCCTGCAAAGAGAGTCTAACAATTTAATTATCATTCCAACATCGGAACGGTAATCAAACTGTTGAAGGGGGTCAAATTCACAAAAGCCCAACAGACAGAGCTGCAAAAAACCCTTTTTTGGCTCCTTATAAATGCTCTCTCCTCAACACAACTGAAGACCTCTTGGTGCAGATGCTACAATTCCATTGTAGTAGAAATGAAAACACTTTACAACAAAAAGAAAAAGATCATTTGTACTTGGCAAAAGGAAATGAAACTCAGAAGCAGTGATGTCAAGCTCATTTTTGGTATCGACTGTGGAGAAGACAACATCACCACCAAATCCTATGCAAGACCAAAGGATTTTGAGCTTCCATTTTACAAACGAATATGCAAATCAATGAAGAGATTGGATGGCAAGTCTTTGACCAAAATGTTTCAACAAACAAAAAAAGGAAAATCAACCAATGATCATCAAGATCTTGCAAGGGTAATCACCCTTTACTTGTGCTTGAAACTTCTCATGCCCACAACAGGCCATATACTCAGTTGGAGTTTCCTCAACTATGTTGACAATCTCAACAACATCAAGAAGTACAATTGGGTTGAGGCAATAAAAGACACACTGATGAATTCAATGGCAACTGCAAACAACAACCCAAGGCATGTCACTGGATGCGTCATGTTACTCTTGGTAAACACATTACTCAACTACTTCCCACAAAAATATCAGACATCCACCTATTTATAACTATCTAACATATTTCAACTTTTTTTTTTTTTACAGTACTGGTACTGTGAGCACAGTAAACTCTTCCGACCATCCAACAAAGAAGGCTTCCCAAGGTTTATGAAATGGAACCTTGGAAAAATGTACTCCAGGTGGAAACACATCAGCCTTGCTCATTTTGACAAGGTATTCAAACTCTTCTATACTATCATAGCACAAATCTATTTAACACTCCTTTCACAGTCATTATAGTAAAAATCATGTTATGAAACGTTCAAATTCTTCAGTTTCAAACAACATATATTCAACACTTGACTCACATTATTGCTTCCCAAGGTTTATGAAATGGAACCTTGGAAAAATGTACTCCAAGTGGAAACACATTAGCCTTGCTCACTTTGACAAGGTATTCAAACTGTTCTATACTATCATAGCACAAATCTATTCAACACTCATTTCAATATTCATTGTAGTACAAATCATATTATGAAACTGTGAAAATTTTCAGTTTCAAAGCACACACTTCTTTAACATCACTCATGTTATGAAACTGTAACAATTTTCAGTTTCAAAAAACATATTTCGACACTTAACCCACATTACTCACAGTACAACTCATCTTATGAAACTGACCAAATTTACAGTATTACTGACATATGCCACATTGTTCCAATGTAGGTTAACCAAAGTGCTTTAACCCCAACTGAACAAGAAATACAGTTATTGCATATCAATCAAAGCACATCAACAGACTCTTCAGCAAAGAAACAAGACCACAAAAAGGACAATAAGCAAAAAAAGAAAACAAAAGCAACAAAAAAAAAGAACACTTCTAGACAGTGATGAGGATGACTTTCTCGAAGAAGAACATCATTCAGAATCAGAATCACAATCAGAAAAAGAAGCACAACAAAAAAAAAAGAAAAGAAAGCAAAAACCACAACAAGAACCACAAAGTGATGAACAAGAAGAAAAGAGTGATGATGAAAAAAATCAAGTGACTGATGAAGAAAAAACTGATGAAGAAGAAACTGAAGAAGAAGAAGAAGAAGAAACTGAAACTGAAGAAGAAACTGAAGAAGAAGAAGAAGAAGAAACTGAAACTGAAGAAGAAACTGAAGAAGAAGAAGAAGAAGAAACTGAAACTGAAGAAGAAACTGAAGAAGAAGAAGAAGAAGAAACTGAAACTGAAGAAGAAACTGAAGAAGAAGAAGAAGAAGAAGAAGAAGAAGAAGAAGAAGAAGAAGAAGAAGAAGAAGAAGAAGAAGAAGAAGAAGAAGAAGAAGAAGAAGAAGAAGAAGAAGAAGAAGAAGAAGAAGAAGAAGAAGAAGAAGAAGAAGAAGAAGAAGAAGAAGAAGAAGAAGAAGAAGAAGAAGAAGAAGAAGAAGAAGAAGAAGAAGAAGAAGAAGAAGAAGAAGAAGAAGAAGAAGAAGAAGAAGAAGAAGAAGAAGAAGAAGAAGAAGAAGAAGAAGAAGAAGAAGAAGAAGAAGAAGAAGAAGAAGAAGAAGAAGAAGAAGAAGAAGAAGAAGAAGAAGAAGAAGAAGAAGAAGAAGAAGAAGAAGAAGAAGAAGAAGAAGAAGAAGAAGAAGAAGAAGAAGAAGAAGAAGAAGAAGAAGAAGAAGAAGAAGAAGAAGAAGAAGAAGAAGAAGAAGAAGAAGAAGAAGAAGAAGAAGAAGAAGAAGAAGAAGAAGAAGAAGAAGAAGAAGAAGAAGAAGAAGAAGAAGAAGAAGAAGAAGAAGAAGAAGAAGAAGAAGAAGAAGAAGAAGAAGAAGAAGAAGAAGAAGAAGAAGAAGAAGAAGAAGAAGAAGAAGAAGAAGAAGAAGAAGAAGAAGAAGAAGAAGAAGAAGAAGAAGAAGAAGAAGAAGAAGAAGAAGAAGAAGAAGAAGAAGAAGAAGAAGAAGAAGAAGAAGAAGAAGAAGAAGAAGAAGAAGAAGAAGAAGAAGAAGAAGAAGAAGAAGAAGAAGAAGAAGAAGAAGAAGAAGAAGAAGAAGAAGAAGAAGAAGAACACCTTGATCAAGAAGAAGACCAACAACAAGAACAAGAAGAACAACAAACAAACCAACACGAAGAAGTCAATGAACAAGAACTGACAAACCAACAAGAAGAACTGCAAGAGAAATCTGACATACTTCATGCACAAGGTAAACTATTGTCTAATACTAAATCATACTGCAAAATTTCATTAAACTAACCAAAACACAATCCAACATTTTTATAGGTCATGACCAACCACAAACACCAACCAAAGAGGACGACAAGGACAAGCTCATATCAGCCATGAGAGCACAAATGCAAGAAATGGAACAAAAATTCATGGCTGAATTGCATAAAAAAGAAGATCAATTGAAGGAAATGTCCACCAAAAAAACTGGCAGTCCCCAACAAAGATCCATGGTCAAGAGAATCAAACAAAAATCAAGAAAACAAGCACATGACCCAGATTTTGAATACCAACCAATGACCAAACCCAAAGAACATGCAACAAACAAGACACAAACTGCTGCTGATGTACCCAAACCAACACAGGGTACCAATGAAGAAAAACAGAAGAAGAATGACAACAAAAAACAGGGTGCTCATGAAGCAAAACAACAGCAGAAAGAAAAGATGCAAGAACATATTGGCCAAGAGAAACCAGTTGCTGCTGAAACAAACCCAAAAGAGCATGCCAATCAAAAGAAGACAAATCTTCAAGTATTGGAAAGTGATGATGATTCCCAGGAAGAATCAATCCCAAACAAGCCACTCACCATTTCATGCCGCAAAACAAACAAGGTTTGGCATAGCCTATCCAAAAAAGACCAAGACCAAATTCAACTCATCAACAACACACAATCAACTGCTTGTGTCTGGTCTGGCAGCGAAGATGAAAACTGCGTATACTTTTCAGATATATGCAGATTGACCAACAGGGAACCCTTATATGGGAATGTAGGTCTCCAACTGCACAATTTTACAGTTTCTGTACATATTCAATAACCTATTCCACAAACCTAACACATTCTCATATATAACATGTTTCAGGTCATTGATGCCTTCTCAGAAAAGCAATTGGCACTCCAACCAACCATTGAAGAATTTGAGAAAAACGATCTAGTCTTTGCAAGCAATCCATACGCAGGAAGATCTTACGTTTTCTCAACACTCATCAATGTAAGCAAAACTTAACATACCTTACAACTGCAAAATTTTCTACTTTATCAACATGTATTACTACATAGTTTTATGACATATTTCAAACATATATATGACTTACAGACTCCACTACAAAACCAAGATCAAGCACTGAGAGAAAAACTGATGGACAGCCATTTTCCAGAAGCAATGAAAAACAGATATATCCATTTCCCAATCAACCACGACAACCATTGGACAATTGTGGTCTTTGACAATGCTGATGGAATATGGAGACACTATGACTCGTTGAGACCAGCAAAAGATTGCCATAACAAGCACTTTGAAATTGCAAAGCAAATTGTAAGTTAAAATAAAATTTCATACTTAGTTCCATCCCTTTACAAACATCTCAACTCATCACTATAACTAACAAAAACACCCACTAACTATTTTGTAGCAACAACATCAACTGAGATGGAATAAAGCATTACTCAGCAAACAGGGAAACATGTTTTCATCTCAAGAGTGCGAGACAGAAATTGCATCAATTGAGGAATGCCCACAACAAACCCCACACTCGTAAGATACAAAATCCATAAACTAATCTTCCAATATGCTAATTTTTACAGTTTCACCTAACTAATTAACTTCATCTCAAACATTGCAGGAATGATTGTGCAATTGCCGTCTGCAATGTTATCAACCAATATCTCAACTGGCAACCTGTGCAGAAAAAACTTCGTCCAACTGAATGGGTCAAATTTCGAGCACAAATCATCAATCAATTCCTCAATGATGAGAACCGATCTTGGAAACTCGAGCACTACCAAATGTTGACAAAACATACCAAACCATAGAAACAATGAACAAACTTCTTAACAATACAAATATTCAAGGGAACATATCTTTGAACCTTTTTTTTATTTTTTTTTATTTTTCTTTTTTAACATGTGACAAGTACTTTATATACTTTTGGGAATGATCTTTTTCTGATTATTATGGTTATGGTGAAAATGATTGATGTTATTGTTGCTCTTCTTCTTGTTATTATTATTGTGGTTCTTCTTCTGATTGTTTGTCTACCTGTTTGTGGTTGCATATATTTTCATACAGTAAAGGTTGATTATAATAATTCTTCAAACTGCAAAATTTTACAGTTTCATCAGCTTGTTTCTAATAATTTTTAAAACTGCAAAATTATGCGGTTTCATCAAGTTGTTTCTAATAATTCTTAAAACTGCAAAATTATACAGTTTTATCACTATGAAATATGAACTGCCTTTCCATATTATACTGTTTCAATAAGAAATTTTCAACAACCTTCTCAGCATTCCATAAAAATAAAACCAACCAAACCCACAAAAAAAATAAAAATAAAAAACAAAACCAGACTATTAGAAAACAACTTCAATAAGTAAAAAACACACCAACAAACAAAAAACAATTCAACCAACTTTATTCATTACTTCCATAATACCAAGTATCACATTTTTTATTATCATAATTCCTCAAATTCAAATACAAATCCAAAAGAATAGATTGCGGCCTCAAATAGCAGCCTTGCACGTCTTCTTATTGTGATTCCCATATTTCAAGCACCTCCCACACTTGATTTGCTTCACATTCTCACCCCTTGAAGGTATCCTCTTCTTCTTGTTCCGCCCGGGCTGCTTCTTCGTTATAGGAGGTTTGATAACCGAACTACTGGCACCATCAAAGTCAAATCTCTCACTTGAAGGCACTGGATAAACAGATTCCTTGTATGACTCTCTAAAACAATCTACATGAAAAAAAGGATCAATGAAACCATACACATCTCTACCACTACTACGCAAAGCATGCACAGCATGACAACAAGGAAAACCATTCAATTGCCATTCATGGCAAGAACAAGTTTGTCTACCAATATCAACATAAAAAGAAATAGAAGAATGAACCTCAAGCACAGTATCACTAGCAACAATCACATCCCAAGACTTAGCTAGCTCCAAAGAGTCCACCAACTTCTTTTCCATAACTGGACACAATTTCGTAGTCAAGCAGGCAATGTCCTTTTTCCAGCAGAGCGGAGCTCTACTAGTTGTCCTCCCCCATGTGCATGCACCATTCCTAGGAGTGTAAAAATGGCCTGCAGCCCGGGGTGGACCTAGCCCATTTAGGCCCATTCGGACCCGAGCCTAGCTTGAGACCCTAGGCCTAGGCCATCATTTGAAGCCCGGCCCACCTAGTCTCGCCCATCGCCCTGCTTAAAATCCACTCAAGGCCTGGCCCACCTGAGGCCCAATGTATTTTTTAATGGAAAATAATAAAATCTTGGTAGAAAAAATTTTAAAAAAAAACAAAAAAAAAATGTTCAAGCTCGCCCAAAACCCAAATATCCCCTAGGCTTGGGCCTAATTTTCTAGTCCATAGACTAGCTTGGCCCAGCCCAAATTTTGGCTGGAGCCCGCGAGGCCTGACGTGGGCTGGGCCAGGTCGAGCCAAATTTACATCCTTGCTAATTCCCTTTCCTAGAATCCTACTATAATGCATCTTCCTAAAAGATAATGCCCATTTTTAACACTCTCATCACTAAAGAAAGTGTATTACAACTCTTTGGTCGACAACCGAGCAAATCATCAGCCCCGTCGCTTACCCAACATGCAAATGACTCAACCTTGATGCTGCCAAGAACAAGTGCCACGCCGAGCTAACGTAGTTTGGTAGCCTCTTCATTTCGTGCTAATGTAGCTCTAGACCAATTCTAGTCTGCCAAACATGCGAAAACAATTGCTCGGTCTGGCGATGTTTGCCGTTTGCTCACCTGAATGTTGATGGTATTATTGCAACCTTGCAAACTGTAGCCCAGTCCATGACAAGGACTTGATTTAACCCCGACCCAATCATCTCGCCACAAATCTCCCTCTATGAATATATGTAACTAATGACTTATTAAAAAATTAAATTATTTTCAAACGATAGGTGAAGTGAAGGTGTTGTTGTCAAGAAAATGCAATATATATACAAATCTAAACATATATATATACATATATATGTATATCTATGTATCGACAGATACATACATACACATACATATATCTATCACCAGAGAGAGAGAGAGAGAGAGAGAGAGACAACGTACGCAGATATCGCCTGTACACAGAGATTCAAATCGCACAACCAGATCCACCTCACAGCACAATGAGATCGACAACACAGCACAATGAGATCGCCACAACGAAGAGAAATCGAGATCGCGCAGACGAAGATTTGATTTCCTTTTTTTAAACAGAGCAAAAATTTAATTTTTCACGTACATATAGATCTCAAAACAAAGGGTAATACAGTCATTTAAAAATACGAAAATAAAAAACGGGACCTCTGGGTATAAATCTTAAAAAACTGTGGACCTATTCATCTATTAAAAATAAAATGGGATTAGAAGGAAAATAGATCCCCTACATAGGACTACATGGTAATTTTCCCAATTATTTATATTGTAAGGATTTTAAGCATATGATCCATAAAATAAATTTAAGATCTTTCTAATAAGTGTCCTATGGGTACAAGAAAAAGATAAACAAGTGTAGAACTCAATACACTTTTCATTAATTTTAGAACATTTTTCACTCAATTTAATACACTTTCTAACTTTTTTACTATTTGGGTAAATTACAAATATCTCCTCGAGGTTTGGTGAAAATATAGATTTTTCCCTAAGGTTTGAGAAATTACATCCCGCCCCTTGAGGTTTATATTTTCATAAGAAATTGCACCCTGAGGTTTTTATTTTCATACAGATTCCCCCTAATTTTCCCTAATTTGTTATGAAAATTTGATCCTCAGGGGGCATTTTGTAATTTCTCAAACCTCAGGAGAAAATCTGTATTTTTACCAAATCTCGATGAGGTGTTTGTAATATGCCCTTACTATTTTTAAAGCACTTTTTACGATAATCCTTATATTAAATAATGCATGAGGGCACTTAGTAGCATTTGTTATTAAGTTAATCAGACATATATAACTCAATGATACTCATTATTTTAAAACAAATTATCAAAATTTATGCTAACTTTTTATTTTTTTAAAAAAACAAATGTAGCTTTGTTCAAAATTTATGCTAACTTTTTATTTTTAAAAAAATAAATAAATGTAGCTTTGTTTTGAGATCATAGATACCTAATTAATATAATTTTTATCCTACAATATAAATGATTTGAATTAATGGCATGAGTTCCGAATAAGCCCCACAGGCCTGACAATACCCAGTTGTGGCACAGCACACTTCCTGGGTACTCAAATTGTCCACATATCAAAATATAATAAAATTATCATTTATTATTTATTTGAATTATAATAAATTATAATAAATATATTATAAATAAAATAATTATTCATTACTATAAAATAATAAAAATACTATACGGGCACAAAATATTCACTGTTAGTATAATCCTGGTAATCAACCTTGCGATCCTTCAAATATCGTCGTAAGGTTTGAAATAACAAAAACGTGAACTTACCAGCGAATGTGTGCTAGAAAACCCCTACGACACTTAAGTTAGTACTCACGATCAATGTGAAAAAAGGTTCTAAAATCTTGTGAATAGAATTGTATAACCTTATTTTAGATTATCTCTAAACTTTTATAATTTCTGCATCTCAAAATCTTAATAAGACTCTAATTCCCTTTCATTATTGCTCATCTTCCTTGTGAATAATGTCGATTCTTTAACACTCATCACTAAAGAAAGTGTATCACAACTCTTTGGTCGACAACCGGGCAAATCATCAGCCCGGTCACTTACCCAACGTGCAAATGACTCAACCTTGATGCTGCCAAGAACAAGTGCCACGCCGAGCTAAAGTAGCTTGGTGCGCCTCTTCACTTCGTGCCGACGTAGCTGACTAAAGGACAAGCCAACTAGACCAATTCTACTCGGCCAAACATGCGAAGACAATTGCTCGGTCTGGCGATGTTTGCCGTTTGCTCACCTGAATGTTGATGGTATTATTGCAACCTTGCAAACTGTAGCCCAGTCCATGACAAGGACTTGATTTAACCCCGACCCAATCATCTCGCCACAAATCTCCCTCTATGAATATATGTAACTAATGACTTATTAAAAAATTAAATTATTTTCAAACGATAGGTGAAGTGAAGGTGTTGTTGTCAAGAAAATGCAATATATATACAAATCTAAACTACCTTTCGTTTCCTTAGATTTTTGTCTAAACAATATAAAATAGACCAATAAACCAATCTTTAATGAAGAGATTACTTTTATAATTTGATCACTTAGTACGGATTTTTCTCAAACTATTCATTTGTATCCCACCACTCTTAGGAATTCAATGGGCCCCTATGTGAGGAATCCTAAGTCCAGATAGATTAATAATTTTAATTTTAATTTTATTAGTCACATATCAAATTATGTATTTTGTTGGATTGCTAGTATAACATGAGGGTCATGTCCCTTCAAACAAACAAGCTTATAAAAAAATGAATAAATAAATAAATAAAATAAAATAAAAGGTGGATTGGGTTGATGGTGGTTAGGGGTGTAAATCTAACTCGGCCCATGTCAGGCCTCGCAGACTCCAGCCAAAATTCGGGCCGGCTCACAGGCCACAAAATTAGGCTCAGCCCTAGGCCCAGGGGTGTTCGGGGCTGTGGGCCAGGCTTGATCAATTTTTTTGCTTTTTTTATTTTTTTTTACCAAAATTTTATTATTTTTTACTAAAAAATACACTGGGCCTCGGGTGGGTCGGGCATTGAGAGGGCCTTAAGCAGGCCGATGAGCTGGGCCATGGGCCGAGCTAGGCCAGGCATTTTGAGCCCACGAGTCAGACCGAGCTTCAAAATGATGGCCCAAGCCCAGGCCCAGGGGCTCGGTGGGGCTTGGACTCAGGCCTGGGCCCAAACGGACCTAAAAGGGCAGGGCTTATCTCAAGTCGCGGGCCATTTTTACACTCCTAATAGTGGTGGCTAACTGCAACGGACGCTTTTAATATTTAATTTTTTTTTTGGGTATAAATTCCCTCAAGTTTAAAGTTTGAACTATTCTGTCAAGATGGATTTCGTGGGATCCAGTATGGATCCTATTTCGATAATTTGAATTGTTTATTTTGCAAGTTTTTTTCACATATATGAAAAAATTACAATCTAATAATCATAATATTTTCATTTTATTGTGTTTATCTAAAAAAAAATAAAAATTGGTGGTCTATTTTCAAAAACACACTCATCAAATTATTTTTTTTGGAGAAATACTCAATAAAATAAAAAATAAGATAAAATTACCCAACTACCCTCTAATACCAAAATAAAAGTAGGGGAACTTAAGTATAAATTCTATTAGGTGGACTTATTGTTCAATAGGTTCTATGAAGATTAATGACGTTTTTCATCAAATACTATTAAAAAACATCACTAATTACTAATTTCCAGCGACAGTTTGAAAATTTATTACAAAAAAGTCACTAATTATAAGTTTAGTGACTATTTAAAAAAATTGTCACAAAAAATGTTACTAATTTTTAACTTTTAATGATAGTTTAAAAAATTCGTCACAAAAAAAAGTCGCTTGTAAGTTGGGTGAATTACACTAATAATCTCTATAATTTAGGACTTGTATCATTTTGGTCATTGACTTTTCAATTGTGATACATTTGATCTTAAATTTTGAATTTTGTTTCAAATAAGAACAATCAAAGATTTTTCTTTCCAAATGGTCCATTTCAAAGACAAAATCGTCATACAACTTATTTTGTATTGATTAACTAGTATGTTGCTTGAAATGTAATGGCCTTTCTTTTAAAGAATAATGTTGGAATTTTGTTAGTTATAAAGCTCTGTTTGATTTGGTATTCATAATCTATTTTTCAGAAATTTTTTCTAAGAAATTAAATTTTAATAGTGAAAAAAATTTAAAAACACATTATTTTTATGTCAGAAATAATTTTTTATATTTACTTTTATTAAATTAGTTTCTATTTTTTCAAAAGTCAAATATGGTGACAACTTTGATATCATTATTAAACAAATCCATTA